GGCTCTCACTCACCCTAATGGGTTCAGCTGGCTTCTACAAGCCACTCGTGCTGCCCTTGTTGCTTGCCAGCTGGGCTCTCCCTAGCCCCAAATAGCTCCAGCTGGCCTCTTTCTTTCTAGCCCCGGCTCCGGGCCTGAGTCCTGGTCTTAAAGGGCCAGTGCAGGGCAGGCGCCCTATCATAGGCCTTATTAGCAAACCATGACTTTGATAACTACTCTAAATTAGCAGAACTCATGGAACATATACTAGAGTCCAAAAGATCTATCCTTCGAGCGATTATTCAGGAGGGCCACACTATTGCCCGCACTATGCTACTAGAGGCAATCGATGTAGCTGATGCAGCTGTGAAGGCAACAGCCACAGCAATAGTCATGAGAAGGGTGTCATGGTTACAGGCTGCCATGGTCCCCAGAAATCTTCAGAATAAAGTAGAGGACCTACCTTTCGACAAGCTAAAGCTTTTTGTGGCCAACACTGACGAGACCCTGCATGGCAGTAAGAACTTCCGCACTACCCTATGGACCTTAGGGATGTATATGCATTCATACAAGAGAAGGCGCTATACCCCGTACAACAGGGCCAAAGAGTCGTTCTATAACCAGCAGCAACAGAAGCCCTATGATTATACTAGGAACAGAAAATGTATCTAGAGAAAGCACCCTCAGCAATCACGCTCCTCAGGCTCCCAAACTACCAAACAGCAAATCTGAAACATTTGGTTGAGGGTGTGCACAACCTCCCAGCTCTTCCATTGCAATGACAGGAACAAAGCTGCCTATTCCACCCCTATATCCATCAGTAGGGTGCTATAACATCAGACCTCTGGGTTTTGGAAATCATACACGGGTTACATCATCCCATTTACTTCTCTCCTACCGACCCATTCCCTCTCCCCATCCCTCTTCAGGGACTCTTCTCACGAGTTTCGTCTCAAGCAAGAGATCAAGAGGCTTCTTCAACTAGGAGCCATAGAAAGGGTTTCCTCTCCATACAGAGGAAAGGGCTTTTATTCAAAGTATTTCCTCACCCAGAAGCACACAGGTGGATGGAGGCCAATCTTGGATCTCCAGAAGCCAAACAAATTCCTGTAGAAACAATGCCTGAAAATGGTCACACTGACCTCAATAATTCTGGCACTGGACAGAGGGGACTAGTTCGCAGCCCTCAACCTACAAGACGCATAATTCCACATAACAATAAATCCAATACACAGACATTTCCTTCACTTTACAGAGGGAGGGGACCATTTTCAATAAAAGGTCCTACCTTTCGACCTGTCATCTGCCCCACAGGTCTGCTCCAAAGTCGTCGCACTCATGGCAGCATACCTCAGACAACAGGGGGTGACGATTTTTCCTTATGTTAGGCCCTAGAAAAATAGGCCTAGTGCAGTTATGCTAAAGCAAATGTAACGAAGGTTTCTGGGTAGTCCCTGGGCAGAACTAGAGATAGGTTCAAGCAGGGACGCACACTACGCACTCTACACGCTTGCTCAAGTTGCAAAATGAGATAAGTAAGAAGTTGCATTTTTGTACCTGCTGCGATGAGGAACAGTTTGTTTTGAGAACTGATAAGGAGACTCCCTGTTTCTGCTCTTCCCCTGTTTGTTCCAAACTCCCTGTTTATGTTCTCCTTTGGCCATAACAAACTGTCTCCTTGTTGCCCAGTACCTGTCTTTTGGGCTGATAAGAAATTGCTGATGCATTATGAATTGCTTAAGGCCATGATGTATAGTTGGCCAGGTGTGCATGGATACTAGAAGTTTCTAACTGATAAAGGGAGGTGGGTTGCTTGGGCGAACAGTCTATGACGCGACGGAACTGTCTATATAAGCCTACCTGTTAATGAAATCGGGGCTGGTTCTCTTTGGAGACGGGCCGCTCTCTATTGTAAGTGCGCACTATTCAATAAAGAGCTTGTGATTGGATCTTGCTGGTGTTGCCTGTCTCTTTGCGGTCAGACAACAAACAAAGGCCGTCCGGGTTCGAGTCCCCGACACTTATCTCAACGACTGCTTACTGAAAGGTTGCTCACAAGGGAAAGTGACTGACATGATAACAAGAACCAAGCAACTGTTCAACTTGCCGGGACTGTTAATCAACGAACAACAGTCAACACTCAGTCCAGTTCAGAACTTAGAATTCATAGGAGCAAGACTCAATGCCACATCAGACAGGGCATCTTCCTCAACACAGGTTCCATGCCCTTCGAGATTTGGTTCTCCCCTTCATCGCAAATCCATCCACCACAGTCCATACCTACCTTCAACTCATGGGGTACATGGCGGCCACCACATATGCGGTGCAGTATGTGCGCCTCCATTTCCGTGCCTTACAGCATTGGCTCGCATCGGTCTACATGCCTTCATGGCATCAGTTGCACAAATCACATTTGTGTCCGAGCAAGTGCTGCAGTAGCTCAGATGGTGGACATGTCCATGCAGCCACTTAACTAGGATTCTGTTTTTACAGGAGGATCCTGCCATACAAATTACCACGGACGCTTCACTCCTGGTTTGGGGTGCGTACTTCCAACACCAAACTGTACAGGGCAAACGGCTGCCACACGAGACTCTGTTACACATCAACATTCTAGAACTCAGAGCCATCAGAAACACCTGCAGGCACTTTGCCTCTTCCATAACCAACTGCTCAGTTTGTGTTCCACAGACAACACCACCACGATGTACTACATAAACAAGCAGGGAGGAGCGTGTTCCAGATCGCTGTGTGCAGAGGCAGTCTGCCTGTGGAATTGGGCTGTAGCGTACAGGGTCACCCTAAAATCCATGTACTTACCGAGGGTCAACAACACCATAGCAGATGCCCTAAGCTGCAACTTTACAATTCACCATGAATGGGAACTCCACCCGGCCGTCACGGATATCATCTTCCGCAAATGGGGCTATGCCACCACGGATCTCTTTGCAACACGGAACAATGTAAAATGTCCCAGATTTTGCTCTTGAGTGGGACTGGGCAGGAGGTCCAGGAGTGATGCGTTCCTCCTCATGTGGGACGAACCATCGTATTACACATTTTTTCCAATTCCGTTGATTCTCAGGGTGTTGCACAAAATTTGTCTGCATGGCGCTCAAGTCATCTTGATAGCCCATGTTTGGTCCAGACAGGTTTGGTTTCCAGCCCTTCAGGACTTGTCTCTCGAACCAGCTTATCCATTGCCACACCGATACAACCTTCTATTCCATGCTTTCACTCTCTGCCCCCATCATGGCATGCAAAAGTCACCCCCACCACAGCAAAATCTGAAATGGCGCCCCCTGTGAAAGGGGTTGGCTGGGGGTGCACTCGCTCGCCCCTCCCTCGACAGGTTTGGTTTCCAGCCCTTCAGGACTTGTCTCTCGAACCAGCTTATCCATTGCCACACCGATACAACCTTCTATTCCATGCTTTCACTCTCTGCCCCCATCATGGCATGCAAAAGTCACCCCCACCACAGCAAAATCTGAAATGGCGCCCCCTGTGAAAGGGGTTGGCTGGGGGTGCACTCGCTCGCCCCTCCCTCCATTCCCTTGGG